CAGGACTAAAAAGATGATAAAAGGAGGAGGGCCATTTAGGGACTAAAAAGGGATTTGTACATAGAAGAAAGAGACGTGACTGAGGTGTTAAATGAATACTTTGTATTGGGCAGATTTTGCCTAGGTCATGGTGACTTGGAAGAGACTCTGTTTACCAGAATGACTTCATTTTGAGGAGGAAGTATTGAATAAGCTAACAGTACTTAAAAGTTTATAAACCATGAGAATATTGGAGGAAATAAGAGTGGAAAATATAGGTGTACTGGCAATTATCTTTCAATATTCCCTGGATTTAAGGATGATGCTGGACCAATATAGAGAATTGAAAACATTCTGGTCATATTGGCAAAAGCTTGTTAAGATCATCCCAGCAATTACACACCAGTCAGTTCAATTTCAGTGGTGGGGAAATGTCTTAATTATGTGGGGTAAAATGAATAATCATATTGAAAAATGTTAATTGATTTGGAAGAGTCAGCATGGATTTGTTAGGGAAAATAGTGTCCAACTTGCTGGAATTCTCTGAAGACGTAAGAGGGTTGATGAAAGCCTGGGTCTTTGTGCTCATAGACTTCCAAAAGACACTCAATAACCAATGAACTTGAAGTTGTACTTCGTGGAATGATAGGAAAAAAAAAATAGCAGTGTGGATACTAAATTGACTGAAGGATAAGAAACCAGCAGTAATTGTTTATGGGCATTTTTCAAACTGTGACATTTGTAGTGGAGTTTGACAGTGTTGATATTGAGGCCCTTACTTTACCTAAATTATATAAATACTGTAATTGTGGTACGCAAGAAACAAAGTATAAAGCTCCAAGAAGACATTGGGCTGATTCTTACCAGAAATCAGCTAAGTGTTAATTTCACTGAGTTTCATGGAGGGTTTCTCTCTGCAAAGCCTAGTGAATTTTTTGCATTATCATCCCCAGCCCACCTCCAAAACAATATGGTACCCAGCTTGTCTGATGGCAGCTTGATTCTCCCATTCACTGTAGGCAAAAGTAATCATCACTACCAAACACCCCAGGATTCCATGCCCAGACACCATATTTAAGAGGCTTGTGTGCATCTGGTCAAGCAGTGGCAGTCTAAAGCTGCCCTCCACAGTTTGCAACATTTGCACTGGACATGGCAAGTAAGTAAAAGTTGGCACCTCACTTTACAGACCGGGACCTGGAGGTCCTGGTGAATGAGGTAGTGCAGACAACAGCTGTCGTCCTTGCTCAGGACTGGCGAAGGAGGCCACAACACCAGACCCTGCTTGCCTGGTCCACGGTTTCCACTTGAGTCAGTGTGGTCTCCCTTCTTGTATGGAGGAATGCCCAGCAAAGCCACAAGAAAATTAATGACTACTTTGCTACAACTGCTAAGTGCCACCATCTCTTTATTAGCTCACTCTCACTTTGCTAATGCACCCACCTCCCACCAAGGTTCATGCGCTACCACTCTAATTATTGTATACAACGCATTGCCTATATAACCTCCGCACCACCACCACCTCATTCACTTTTTTTTTCCCCCTCCCTGCACCAGCATGAAAACATATGTCAGCTGCTTTATCTCCTTCAATCTCCGAGTTTGTGGACTGTTTTCTCCTGGAACAAAATAGTAGGGCAGAAAGAGCCAAGACTGCTGGTGGTGTGCCCAACATTGGCCCCCTCACACTAGATGATCCTGACTATAAGCACTTCAAGCAGCAAAGTAACTATGCCCAAGCCCCTAGGCTGATATCAGATGACGCCTTTAAATACTGTGCTGGGACCCCATTTCTGACGGGTGTCTCCCTTTACTTGACTGAGGACTTCTCTCCTTTAGACTTTGAAACCAGGCTATTTGGTTGAAGCACTTAGTGTGTTTGGCATATGATGTACATGTGAGTTTAACACAGCCATACAGCAACATGCCCTTAACTGATCACCGCTGACTAACGTGATGAGCTACCTGGCTTTGTCTGCATTAAAAAGCAAGTTAAGAAAGAAGTGCTGTGAACCTAAGGAGAAAAGTGCAGAAAGGAAGGCAAAGCAGGAATGCTATAAACCACGAAGTGGGCACAAAGGAGTGAGCAAAGAGACCAAGCAAGGCACACAGCTCAGGGGCTTCTGCCATTTCCAACTCTAAAGTCTTTAGCCAAAGTACCATAGCAAACTTTCCCCATTGTGGCAGCTGCCCAAGTTTTCTTCCATTCCTCTGCACACAGTGCTGGACCTAAATATTGCTTCTCATTAAAGTTGAGTAGAAGTGCTGCTTGGAATTTGGCTGTGTAAGACCTTTTTTGTGTAGTTTCTTTGCTCTCATTCCTAACTGTTCCTGTTCATTCTCCTTGGTTAATACCTTCATTCCTCCAGCCATAATGGCAGGATCCACAGAACACCCATGACTGCAGAGAATATTTCAAAAGCCATTCAGCACTGTTTGTGCAAGGAGCTCTTAATTACTTCTCCTGTATGCCCTGCAGTTATACAGGAGCCAATCCATATTGCTAAGCAGAACACTTCTGGTGTAGTAAGGACAAATTGGATAAATTGGGTGTGGTGTCAAGAATTTCCAAGCCTACAAAAGTACTTTCTAGATAGGTGTATGATAATTCAAAAAATATTTCTACCACTGCAATCTAGATTGTACCTATGTCACAGTATGGTTTGCCTTTGAAAAACAATATCAATTGCAGAACAACAACAGTGTTACAATAACAAGAAAACAGTGGTCTGTAAAATAAGCACTTGGTGATCCCAGGAGAACAAACACATCAAATGTCCCTGTGATATAAACTATTAGAATATGTGCTGTCATTTGTCAAAATGATCTTGATCTAAACTGAGAATCTGTTGTTGTGAATGTTTGTTTGTCGGCCTTTCATCACACATTCTATGCATATTATCAGAATTTCATTTTAAGTGGTGATCAAAAATTTTGTTGTTGAGGAAAGCTCTCTGCATTGTCAAAAATGTGACAATTATGCATTTCATAATCATCTCATGAAATTAACAAATTGATTTAATGTTCAATGTGGTAACAGGGCTGGAAAAATAGTCTAATGGTTTGTTCTTGCCAATTTGACTTCTAATTTAAGGGTCAGATGGTTCTGACTGAGCAAAGTCTGTTTTACTTTTCAAAACAAAATGTTAATTGTTTACAGCATGGAAACAGGCCCTTCAATCCAACTTGACCATGCTGCCTGCTTCACCATCAAACTAGTCCCATTTGCCTGCGTTTGGTCCATATCTCTCCATACCTATCCCATCCATGTACCTGTCTGAGACAGAAGATGCCTACACGAACAACATCAGGAAGATGCTGCACGCCCCGACACACTCATCACACTGCCCTACATCAGGGACACATCGGAACTAACCACAAGACCCCTACGACAGTTGCTCACCTGAACTAAAGAGCCACTCCCCGCCATGGACAGGACCAATGTCATCTATAAGATCCCCTCCAGAGACTGAGAAACACTACATTGGGCAGACAGGAAGGAAACAAACAACAAGGGTACACGAACACTAACTGGCTACAAAAAGAAACGACCAATACTCACTCAGCTCAATCCACAAGGATAAGGAGAACAACCAAATCGACTGGGACAACACCAAAATCCTGGGACACGCTAAGCAGAGACAGGCACGGGAATTCCTAGAAGCGTGGCACTCCACGAAGAAAGCCATTAATAAACACGTAAAACTCGACCCCATATACACTCCACTATGAAGGAAAACCGGAAGTGAGGCGATCCAGCTTAATGGACTCCAGAGTTTTAAAAACCAGGCGGGAAAACACTGACGCTTCATCGGAGGCTGCACTGATGATGTTACTCAGCATGGTAACGAAACGTCTGCGGAACAACAAACCAGCTCAGCGAGCCAACCAACCTCAAAACCCACAACCCGAGCTACAAATCTACTCAAACCTCATAGTCACTACTACTTACTTTGTTTCATCAACGTATTTTAAAATTTGAATTCCATGTTAATTCCAGTGATTCCTATCCATGCTTGGCCCTAAATTTATTTTTAGCAAATACTAGGAATTCTCCATTGCATATATTGAGAGGCTCAGGTACTGCATGAATCTTTAGGGAGTCACAGACGTCCTTTCAAACAAATGATGTTACAGTGGTAAGGAGGTGTTTCTAAATCTGTGTAGGAGATTCCTTGGGGAGTTCCAGTCTCTAGAGACACTGGACTCTGCAAGCCAGAGACTAGATTGCAGGGCTTCAAACAGATCTGGGCTGCTTGGGTATTGTTTGAAATTTGGAATTCGTATTGGAATATACCTGTGATCTTATTTTAATCCTGCCTCTATAGAAAAGTTTCAAGTTGTTACTACTTGAAAGAAAAAGACAAAGATCCTATTGTGAGACCTTGCTCTATATAATTTGAGATATTTCCCTAAATTGGTTTAGTTTGCTCTTCTCTCCCTTTCTACCCTTTAGGGAATATTGAGAGGGGGCTGGATTAGCAGATTGATTGTTCAATGTTTGAACAGTGCTATGAACTCTCCTTTGTGACCAATAAGCCTAGAGTTGGACTTCACCCTGGAGCTTCTGGCTTAAAGCAAGGGTACTAGCTGTGAAGCCACAAAATTCCTGTAAAAGGTGATATATAAATGCAAGTTATTTTTGTCAATGGTACCTGAACACAGAAGAAATGAAAAAGGATATCTACCTTGTTTGTCCTCACTTTGCGCTCCTTTCAACTTTAATGACCCACCCTATGGTCCATGACTCATCTTTTGCCCCTTTTTTTTGTTTGTTTGAATGATGACCTCTGTCATACATGTTGATCATTCTGAAAGATTTGTCAAGTGTTGATTTAAAAAAGTGTCAGTGATTTTAAAAAACCTAATGCTGCTATTATTCATCTTTTCAATAATGGGCATTTTTATAATTTTTGCAGTGGAGCAGTGGCAAGTCTCTCTTGATCACCGTAAAATGCAACACAGCTCTTTCCCCACCTCCCAAAGTAATAGATTTGTTTGACCTTTTTTAAAATCAGCAGCTCCAGATGATACAAAGCCAACTGCAGGTGCCAGAGTAACTGGGAGAAAACCATACGTTCTGAGTGGTAAGAATATCTACAAACTTTGTTTTACCAAGGAAAGTCATTCACTATGCAAGATGGAGTGAAATTACCTGTTGCCCAACTTCAATAACTCAAATATAGTTCAGAAACCTTGGAACTGTATTTAAGCACGTTTGTTTCCTCCTACATAAGGTCCTATTTGAAATGGGAAGTAATCCCACTGTTGTCTTGATGTGTTCTTTTATTCATAGGATGTGGCTGGAATAACAATAATTGCCTAATCCTATTTGATGGTGATGAACCACTGCCTTGAACTACTGCCGTCCATGTGATATGGATACACCCACAGTGCTGCTTGGAAGAAGGTTCTCTGATTTTTGTCCCAGTGACAGTGAAGGGACAGCGATATACTTCCAAGTCAGGGCAGTGTGTGGCTTAGAAAGGAACATGAATGTGGTGGTGGTCTCCCACATCTGCCTTTCTCCTTGTAGGTGATACAGCTCATGTTTGGAAGGTACTGTTGAAGCAGCTTGAGTAACAACAGTACATCTGTGGATGCTATACATTGCTACTCCTGTGCTTCTGGTGGAGGGGGTGAATGTTGAAAGTGGATGGTGTACCAAGCAAGCAGCCTGCTTTGTTCCGGATGGTATTGAGCTTTGTGAGTGTTATAGGAGCTGTGCTTATCCAAGCACGTGGCGCTGAATGTTGCGCAATTATCAGTGGGCATTCCCATATGTATATGCCAGGTCTGGACCAAAATCAACTGGAAAGACAATTAGGCCAAGCAGCATCATAGGAGCAGAGAGGCTGACGTTTCGGGCCTAGACCCTTCATCAGAAAAGGGGGAGGGGAAGGGGGTTTTGAAATAAATAGGGAGAGAGTGGGAGGCAGATAGAAGAGGGATAGAGGAGAGGATAGGTGGAGAGGAAACAAACAACTGCACCTCCCAGTCGCGAACCATTTCAACTCCCCCTCCCATTCCTCAGACGACATGTCCATCCTGGGCCTCCTGCAGTGCCACAACGATGCCACCCGAAGGTTGCAGGAACAGCAACTCATATTCCGCATGGGAACCCTGCAGCCCAATGGTATCAATGTGGATTTCACAAGTTTCAAAATCTCCCCTCCCCCCACCGCATCCCAAAACCAGTCCAGCTCGTCCCTGCCTCCCTAACCTGTTCTTCCTCCCACCTATCCCCTCCTCCCACCTCAAGCCGCACCTCCATCTCCTACCGACCAACCTCATCCCGCCCCCTTGACCTGTCCGTCCTCCCTGGACTGACCTATCCCCTTCCTAACTCCCTACCTACACTCACCTTTCCTGGCCCCATCCCCGCCTCTTCGACCTGTTTGTTTCCTCTCCACCTATCCTCTCCTCTATCCCTCTTCTATCCGCCTCCCACTCTCTCCCTATTTATTTCAAAACCCCCTTCCCCTCCCCCTTTTCTGATGAAGGGTCTAGGCCCGAAACGTCAGCCTCTCTGCTCCTATGATGCTGCTTGGCCTGCTGTGTTCATCCAGCCCTGCACCTGGTTGTCTCGGATTCTCCAGCATCTGCAGTTCCTACTATCTCTGGAAAGACAATTAGGCAGGTTAGAAAGGGTATTTCTAGAATTCTGCCCAGCGGAGAGAACGTAATTTATTATCTATTATTGGTTAGGAAGCTTAAGATGGAGGAACCCCTAGGGAGCATAATATGATGGAGTTCATCCTGTAGTTTTGAGAGGATGAATCTAGAATCAGAATGTAACTGTATTACAGTTGATTAAAGGTAACTACAAATATATGGGAGAGCTGGTTAGAGTTGATTAGAAGGGGAGGCTAGCAGGAAAGACAGTGGAGTAGCAATTGCAGGAGTTTCTGGCAATAATTTGGGAGGCACAGAAGAAATTCATCCCAAGGAAGAAGAAACATACTAAGGTGAGGATGAGGCAACCATGACTGACCAGGGAAGTTGGGGACAGCATAAAAACAAAAAGAGAAAGCATATAATGTGGTGAAGATGATTGGGAAGCCTTTTAAAAACCAACAGAGGATAACTTAAAAAAAAAAAAAAAGCAATAAGGGGGGAGCAGATGAAATATGAGGGGAAGATAGCTAGTAATATAAAAGATGATTGCCAGAGTTTTTTTTAGATATATGAAAGGTACGAGAAAGGCAAGACATTTGGACTGCTGGAAAATGAGGCTGGAGAAGTAGTAATGGGGAACGAAGAAATGTTGGATGAACTGAATAGGAACTTTGCATCAGTTTCTCAGTGGAAGACACCAGTAGCATACCAGAACTTCCTGTCCCCTGACTCTGTTGGTTGAGCAAAAACCAAAAGAACTGCAGATGCTGTAAATCAGGAACAAAAACAAAATTGCTGGAAAAGCTCAACAGGTCTGGCAGCAACTGTGGAGGAGTAAACAGTTAACGTTTTGGATCTGTTCTGAGGAAGGGTCACCGGACCCGAAACGTTAACTCTGTTTTCTCCTCCACAGATGCTGCCAGATCTGTTGGTTGAGTGTAGTGTCCATCACTAAGGAGAAGCTGAAAGGCCTAAAGATGGATAATTCACCCGGACCAGATTGAATACACCCTAGAGATCTAAAGGAGATAGCTGAGGAGATTGTGGAGGCATTGATGGTGATCTTCCAGGAACCATTTGGAGTCAGGGAGGGTCCCAGAGGACTGGAAAATGACTAATTTAACACCCTGTTTAAGAAGAGAGGGAGGCAGAAGACTGGAAAATATAGACTGGTTAGCCTGTCCTCAGTCGTTGGTAACATTTGAGTCCATTTATTAAGGATGAGATTGCAGAGTGCTTGGAAGTGCATAATAAAATAGGGCTGAGTCCGCACAGCTTCGTCAAGGGGAGATTATGCCTGACAAACCTGTTGGAATCCTTTTTGAGGAAGTAACGAGCAAGCTAGACAATGATTTGTTTGGATTTCTGGAAGGCCTTTGACAAAATGTTGAACAGGAGGTTGCTAAATAAGAGCACATGATGTTAGTGGCAAGGTACTGGCATGGATAGAGTATTGGCTGACTGGAAGAAGGGAGAAAGTGGGGATAAAGGGGTCTTTTTCAGGATGGCAGCCAGTGAAGTCTGGAGTTTCACAGGGGTCAGTGTTGAGGCCACAACTATTCATGTTATGCGTTCACAATTTTGATGGAACTGAGTTTGCAGATGACAAAAATAGGGTGGAGGGGCAGGTAGTGTTGAGGAAATGGAAGGGCTGCAGTAGGACTTGGACAGGCTGGAGAGTGGGCAAAGAAGTGGCCAATGGAATACGATGTGGAAAAAGTGGTGAGGCTTTGCACTTTAGTAGGAAGGATAGAAGCATAGACTATTTTCTAAACAAGGAAAGTCTATTCAGAAATCTGAAAACACAAAGGGACTTGGGAGTCACAGTTCAGGATTCTCTTAAGGTTAACATGCAGGTTCAATTGGCAGTTAGGAAGACAAATACAATGCTCATTTCAAGGGAGCTTAGACATAAGAGCAGCAGGGATGTACTGCTGAGGCTGTGTAAGATTCTGGTCAGACTGCATTTGGAATGATGAGCAATTTTGAGCCCCTATGTCTAAGGAAGGAGGCGCTGCTGTTGGAGGGGATCCAGAGGAAGTTTACAAGAATGATCCCAGGGATGAAGAGCTTGTCCTATGACTGAGTTTTTACTTGATGGAGGTTAGAAGAATGATGGGGGTGGGAGGTGGGTAGATTCTGACTGAAACTTACAGAATACTGAGACCTGGATAGAGTGGATGTGGAAAAGGTGTTTCCACTTGTATGAGATACTGGATGAAGAGATGACCCTTTAGAACTTAGATGAGGAGGAATCTCTTCAACTAGAAGGTGGTTAATTTATGGAATTCATTGTTGCAAAAGGTTCTAGAGGCCAAGTCATACAGTGTATTTAAGACAGTTAGGTTCTTGATTTATAGCATGCAAAACCATACTTTTCATTATCTTGGTACGTGTGACAAAAAAAAATCAATCAATTACTCCAGGTTTACAGGGAGGAGAATGGGTTTGACAAACATACCAGCCATGATCGAATGGTGGAGCAGACTTGATAGGCTGAATAGCCTAATTCTATATCTTATGGGATATTTGTGCCACCTGTTCCTTTAGTCAGTAGTTTAACTGTCCACCATCATTCATGACTGGAGCATCGGAGGTTGAGGGGTGGCCTGATGGATGTATATAAAATTGAGAGGCATGGAGAGGGTAGATTCAGTTTCATAATAGGAATTTGTAGAATTCCAATTGAGTTACAAGCCTGAATGGTGTGTGACTATATATTGCTGTTTTTTTTTCTCCCCACTGTTGTTCTTTTATTGTCGCTAGGTGAAAGTCTTGGAACTGCATGCTGAATAGTGCTATAGGTGTATCTATGTCACATGGACTGCAGTGGTTTAAGAAGACACCTCACCACAACTTTCTCAGGCAACTAGGTGTTGGCAATCTATTCTGTTTACCACTGATGCTCTCATCCCATTAAAGACTAAGAAATGAAATGCCATCCAATTGCAGTCAATTAAGTATCACAACCATCAATAGGATAATGACTAGTTTTTTCATCTTTTCATAAATGTTGGAAAGGATATTCCAGATACTACTTGTGTTCTTCTTAGAAGTTGCATCTTGGGTTTTTTGCTTTGCCTCCTCCTTTATAGCCTTTGACTTAGAGCCATACAGCATGGAAACAAACCCTTCAGTCCAACTTGTTCATGCTGACCAGGTTTCCCAAACTAGTCCCATTTCCGTGTGTTTGGCCCACATCCCTCTCAATCTTTCCTATTCACATACCCTGTCCAAGTCTTTTAAATGTTGTAACTGTACCTGCATCTACCACTTCCTCTGGCTGTTCATTCCATATGCGCACCATTCTCTGTGTGGAAAAAGTTGCCCCTTAGCTCCCTTTTCAATCTTTTCCCCCTCACCTTAAAACTATGCCTTCTTGTTTTGAATTCCTTTACCTTGGGGAAAAGACCTTGGCTGTTCATCTTATCTATGCCCCTCATTATTTTATAAACCTCTATAAGGTGACCTTCTCAAACTCCTACACTCTGCGGGGGGAAAAAATGTCCCAGCAACTTTTTTGCACCCTTTCCAATTTAATAATACCCTTCCTTTATCAGGGCGACCAGAACTATATGCAGTATTCCAAAGTTGGCCTCCATGTCCTGTACAGCTGCAATATTATGTCCCAACTTTTATACTCAATGTTCTGACCAATGAAGGCAAGCATGCCAAACACCAACACCACCACCCTGCTTACCTGTGACATCACTTTCAAGGAACTATGTACCTGAACTCCTAGATCTTTCTGTTTGACAGCACTCCCCACGGCCTTACCATTAACTGTAAGTCGTGCCCAATCCTCCTATTCCTACTCTCCCTAGCACGTGTCACTAGAAATAATCTGGAAATTACTACAATTGAGATCCTACTTTTTAACCTCCTGCCTAACTTCCTATATTCAGTCTGCAGGACCTCATCCATTTACCTGTGTCATAGAGATGTACAGCACGGAAACAGACCTTTCGGTCTAACACGTCCATGCTGACCAGATATCGTAACTTAATCTAGTCCCATTCCCCTATCCCTCTAAACCCTTCCTATTCATGTACCCATCCTTTTAAATGTTGTAATTGTAACGGCCTCCACCACTTCCTCTGGCAGTTCATTCCATACATGCACCATTGTCTGTATGAAAAGATTGCCCCTTAGATCCCTTTTTAAATCTTTCCCCTGTCACCTTAACTATGCCTTCTAGTTCTAGACTCCTGTACCCTGGGGAAAAGACCTTGATTGCTCACCCTATCCGTGCCCCTCGTGGTTTTATAAACCTTTCTAAGGTCACCCCTCAGCCTCTGACGCTCCAGGGGAAAATTGCCCCAGCCTATTCAGCCTCTTCCCTATTGCTCAAACCTTCCAACCCTGGCAACATCCTTGTAGATCTTTTCTGAACCCTTTCAAATTTCACAGCATCTTTCCTATAGAAAGGAGACCAGAATTGAACACAGTATTCCAAAAGTGGCCTAACCAATGTACAGTACAGCTGTAACGTGACTTCCCAACTCCTATACTCTGTGCACTGACCAATAAGGGCAAGCGTACCAAACACCACCTTCACTATCCTGTCTACCATAGCTCCACTTCCAAGGAATTATGAACTTGCACCCCAAGGTCTCCTTCTTTTGTTCAGCAGCACTCCAAAAGACCTTACCATCAAATGTGTAAGTCCCTCCCTGATTTGCCTTACCAAAATGCAGCACTTCACATTTGTCTCATTAAACTCCATCTGATCAAGATCTCATTGTACACATTGGTACCAATGATCTCGGTCTGCTCCCGCTCTGCTTTGAGTGGTTGCAGCAAATTTTCAGATGTCCTTGACCCTGGCACCAGGGAGGCAAGGCACCATCCTGAAGTCTTGCTCTTGACTGCAGAATTGCCTGTCTGTGTCCTTACTGGAGCGACCCCTAAAGCAATTGCTTGTTTGAATTTTGACAAACTCTGCTTAACAGAAGGCCCAGCTATGGTGCCCAAGACCTGGTTGCCACTATTCTATCCAAGAGGCTATCTGCCATAACTATATCCAAAACGGTTTTATCCATTTTGAGAGACGGATAGCCAAAGGAGCCTCCTGCACTACCTTCCTCTCCTGACAATCATCTGTACCTGTGGTGTGACCACCTTTCTGAAGCTACTATGCATCACATTCTGCCTCCTGTATGTTCCTCAGTGACTCCAACTACCTCTCTCCAGCCGATCTAAATGGTCTGTTATGAGCCACTGCCAAACATGCTTCCGGCAGACATCGTCTCTAGGGACAGTCAAAAGTTCCCTGACGGCGCACATCCAACAGGAGGACCATACCACACCACTAATTGCCATAATTGCCCCTTTAAACAATTAGCAAATGTAGACTTGCCTAAACCACCCAGACTTGGCTCAAACCCCAGTGTTTGCACACTCTTGCTGCTCAGTGTGCAGGGAGAACCTAATGCATATCTTTTATATTGTAAGGCCTGCAAAAAGCAACCAAGTACAATCTTTTTTTTTTTAAAAGAAAGCTACCCTTCCCTTATCCATAATTATTTGACATAAAACATTTTCAATAGTATGATAGTTCTGTAGCAAGTGTCAGCTTAGATTACGTATTCAAGTCTCTGGAATATGTTTGAATCATCAAACCTCTGACTCAGGCGAGTGTAGTACTCCCATTATACTGAATGTAGTGCAAGTGAAAAATCAGAAGCACATTGGTTTGCTCCTGATTAGACCACTTACTAAGTGGCAGTCCTGTTAGAGGGAGCTAGAAATCTGTCCACTTTCAGGACTAGTAGTAATGTAGTAAATAAAGGAGGGGCTTTTGTGAGAGTTAAAGTTTTAATGAAATAGAACATGACTTATTTTTATGTCTTAAACGACTTACTTTTTGAATCTAATTGAGTGCACTTCATGATTTATTACAGAAAATCTAATCATTCACCCCATCCGTTGTGCAGCAGTTAGCAATTGCGTATTGAATATGCTCTTGGAATCTCTTCCTAAGTACAAAGGATGCAGAGGGAGCCTTGCTGCTTTCATAGTGGAGAAAGGTAAGTTAACCCTCCTTTGTTTGACACTTAATTGTGGTGTGAATGGATAAAACTTGGTTTTTCCCCTTGTTTTTCCCCCCCTTTTCTTAACAAAAAAAGTAATTTTATCTTTAAATTTAATGTGTACTGTGGAGAGTAAAAAGGTGACAAAAGAGAATGTTCCTGCTTACACTAAGCAAAGGTATCAGCCTCAGTTGTGACACAGAAGAATTCAGTTGTCCCCGCCCTGTGATACCCAAATCATTCATAGGTGATTGCATTGGTAGCCAGTGATCATGGACATTGAGGTCTTCACAGTGAACACAAATTGTATCTGTGTTTTATGCTTGGTTAAGTTGATGTGCAGAACACACAGGCCATTCATTCAACCGGTTCACATTCCATGAGTCTTCCTTAGTATGCTGTTTCTAACCTATCAAAATAAACTTCTGTTCCTTTTCTCCCTCATACTCACCTAACTCCTCAAAGCAATCAACAGTGATTGCTGACAATGTCTTGTATTTGAAATTCCCATGTACATTCAGAACTTGAATGCCAAAGCCTTTTAAATCATGGCGGTTTGTACTGAAAGATTTAGAAATAAATCAGATATTTATTTCACTTTTTTTGTGGTGTTACTTTATTGCTCTAAAGTAATGTAAAGGCTGGTCTCATCCAGATAGAACCTTTTCTAATGGGTTAACAAACATGTAACAAGTGCATTTAGATGGAAAAGTAATGCTGAAGAATTAACTGACCAGTGGAGACACCAGATTGAAAGATTACATAAGCTGATGGCTTGGCCATTTTCCTTTTGGACAAAACAACTTTCTGCCCTGATGTGAACTGTTGTGCTCATTGAATATCTTTGAGTCCTCAGTTACACTGCCCAATTAGGGTAGGTGTATTATGCATTTGATAAAAATTTAGATTGGTATGAAACACTCTTACTTTAAGTAGTTTTAGGAAAGTAATGGACTTAATCCAGTGACTCAGTAAAATTCTGGGGACCCAGGTTCAAATCCCGCCATGGGAAATGGTTGAATTTGAATTGTTTTTTTAAAAAATCTGGAATAAAGAGTCAAATGATTGTCGATTGTCTGAAAAACTCATCTGGTTCACTAATATCCTTTTAGGGAAGAAAACTGCCATCCTGCCTGGTCTGGCTGGCACGTGACTCCATACCCACAGCAATGTGGTTGGCCCTTGACTGCCCTCTGGGCAAATAGGGATGGGCAATAAATGCTGGGCTAGCCAGTGACATCCACATCCCGTGAATATACCTTAAGGTTTTTTTTTTTTGTTTTAAATTCAGAATTAAAATAGTCACTGGATAGCTGAGTATTGTTGCAAAAAAAAATTCTGTCTACGTTTTTTCCTTTGCACTCACCAGGACAGAATTATAAAAATATCACGTTTCAAAGTTTTTTTAACAACGTGAGAATTGTGCTGATCGGTTAATACATGGATTGTGGTCAAGGTATTATCATAGGGAACGCTCCTGGAACGCATTCCTCACCCTCACTCCCACCCCCAAACATCAGTTGCAAAGGCACAGTGCCTGGACATTTCGGAGAATTCCCAAACAGAGTCGACCTGTCTAGTTTGAACTTAAAACAAAAAACTTCAGTGTAACTACTGTTGCATTCTCTATGGTAGCACTTTCACTAGTTGGGGGCCACTTGCAAACCAAAAAGCACCCTTATCATTCAGCATAAATTGTTGTTCCCTTTGAAATTTGGCACTCTTATATTTCTGCCCTGATGAGTGCTGAATGAAAAGCTTTAAAATGTGACTTTCTACATCAATGTTCAGAATTGAATTCAAGTCCAAGACTTGGTTGCAATTCAGTGGTGTTTCAATACCTGCTGGCATTCTACATATTGTGTCCTTTTGTTGAATATGTACAAAAAGCAGTGGCTAAAACCTTATCAACCCTGAATTGTTTGGTGTAGAACTGGTGTAGGAGTTATCCTTCTGCACAACTACACAACTGGTAATCGCTTTCTGGAAGTTGATTACAGTATAACTATTGACCATTAGACAGCAGCAGTTCTTTTTCAACCTCTTCCTTGTAGCTAATGTATAGTATTTGTGAAAGGACTTTGGCTTCCAAAATGGCCAAATTAACAGGCTATTTCTGTAGTATCCTGAATAAATGTCATTCAAATTGTTAAATACATAGTAAAATGTGGTTTTGATGCATGAATGTTGTATTCTAATTTGATTGCTATATTGTGTATCCAGTTTTGGTTTTAAATTGTAACTTTAAATTGTAAAAGCTTCTTGGCTTGTTTCCTGATATGGATGTAAAATATTTCTGAAATTCTTCTACTAATTCAGGAGGAAATCTTGTTTTTAATAATCACTTACAACTGGACATTTCAGTTCTTTTTAACTTGTTTAAGGAACTGATTTTTATGTTCCTGTCCCCTTCTTTCTCAAGGGAGGTAGAATCAGCCCAAATATTAACAGTATCTTGGAAAATAAAGCAATTGTCTTTTTCGCATTAAATTTGATAAGGTTCAGGAAAAGTTCTTCTTAAATTCTGTTTAGATCTAAATTGCTCTTGTGATTTCCACCACCACCACCCACCTGCTCCTCCTCACTCCCCCCCCCCCCCCCCCCCCCCCCCCCCCCCCCCCCC